ACACCAAGACGTACACCACAAATTGCCAACGATTTTATTGATTGTTATAGAGATATTTTTCGATTATTATCGATATATTTCAAAATGTATTTTTTATTCCGTTGAAGATACTTACATATCTATACTCTTATTAGCTTACTGCATAGTAATAGTTTTCAATATATCAATATATGTATGTATGTTTATCGATTTTTATTGCTAGATATATTTGTGGACCTTTTCATAACTTTACTGTTCGATTGCCGATATTTCTATCAATGTCCTCAAAATCCTTATAGATTTTTTCGATGATTCTCGCTATGGATATCGGTAAATGTAATTATGGCAATTGTTATCGATATCATCATAGCCATTTCATATCTATGACCTTAACAACTTACAAAAAAAAAATTAAAAACAATTTTTTCGGTTTTATTTTCTATTTATTGGGACGATATATTTAAACACATAACCGGACACATTAGACTGCATCACCAAAAAAAAGTCGAGGTTTTTACGCCGGGATTACAAAACGTATTATATTTTAAGACCAAGATTTAAGACCAAAATATTTCGAAAAAATATTAAGATTTACGTGAGCTGGACCGATTTGAAAATACCTCCGAAAATGGACTTTTTTATGAATACAAATAGTTTCTTAAAATTGTCTCGTGAGATTTTTTGAAAAAAAGCCCCTCAGATGACAAAACAGTTTAAGCTTAAAATAGACTTTGTTATGAATACATACATAAAACTACTCAAAAATGTTTTTCAGCGGAATCACAGTAATAAGATTTTTGGTGCTGTTTTAGAACTGTTTTTTCGAAGATTTGTTTAAGAAAATTTGGAAGAACTGGTCCAAAACTATACCGAAATAGACTTATGAGGTATCTGTGGAAAGGTATTTTTTCACTCCTTTTGTTTTTTTGCAAAAAACTCATTCACGACCCAATTCTTTATTAAATACAAACAAATCTTAATTCAACATGGATGACGCCCTTTCTCTTTCATGTTTTGAATGAGCTTACTTGCATAAATAAAAAGGGTGAGAAAATACCCTTCCAATGATACCACATAGGTCTAAATCGGTAAGTTTTGGCTGAGTTATTCAAGTTTTTCTTAAACCAGTCTTTGAAAAAAGATCAAAAACAGCATCGACTCTTATTATTATGATTCCGTTTAAATTTTTTACATATTTTTATGCAAGCGGCGAGTTTGCTGAATACAGTGCTTTTAACATTGAGCTTAGCTCTAGTTTTTGGCAATTGTTTCTCTACTGCTTTGGTCCCCGTCGACTTTTTAGGGTGTACGTTGTCAAAACTGTATATCTTTGAATCGCGTCGCCTTAATTCCTCTCTGATGTAGACTAGCATCTTCTCGAACGATGCTGCGCTCTGCTCACGAGACAATTTATCGGTGGAGCGCGAGGGGGATTTTGAAGTGCTTATCTTCGCTTCGCTTTTGGACTTCGATGTCCTTATTTTGGCTCTCCTCTTCTCGCTGACTTAAGGCAGGCGTTCGTGCTCCGATTGCGCTTTCGCTGATTCTCATATTTTGGCTGCCTGCTCTTGGAGCGTTTCTTGATTTTCCTCTTTTGCTTATGCAGGTACCTAGCCAATTTCAGCATACAAACGTAGACGGCACCTCGTGGCGCTCAGACGAAGCTGTGGTGGTCCTGCTGATCGTCGGCTTGTTTGTTGAAGTAGTGGGTGGTTCTTTGCTTTGCTCGTCGCAGTGGAAGGCTGTTCGGAATTTGAGCGATCTTTTGGGTTTGGCTCGTCTTCTGGTTTTGCGTACGGATTGGGATAAAGTGGCTTCCGCTTTGAACATAAGCTTTTGTTGTACCTCCTGTGCCGCTCTAAGAGTTTGTGATATCTCTTGGCTTCTTTGGCGGTAATTTGGTAAATATTCGACACTTTATGGCATAACTTGTGGCGTCGCGGCACGTTTCTGAGTTTACCTGGCTTGCATTTGGGTTTTTAGGTATCGCCGTTTTATTTCTGTTACCAAACGTGCTGCACGAGCGTACGCTACTCTCGTTGTCGCTTGCTTCTTTGTTGTTGAACAAGTTCAAGATTAACTTGCAGAATACTTTCAAAGGTGATTTACTTTGTTCTTCTTTTTCGTCATCTGTTTTCTCCGCCTCGCTGCGTATGAGTTTAAGTTTCTTTTTGTGCTCCAGTTCATCGCGTTTCTCAATCGCCTTTTGTATTTCCTTTTGACGCTTTATCTCCAACTTGATCTGCTTCAGCAGTTCTTTTTCACGCTGCTTAATTTCTCTTTCGCGTTCCTTTCTCAACTCTTCTTGCATTTTTATATTCTTCTCCTGATCTCGCTTAAGCTTTTCTCTGGCTTTTCCTCCTTTTCGTTCTTGCCTCTTTTTTATTTCCTCCAGTTCCTTTTCCTTGTCATAATCCCGAAACTCTATGCTGCGTGGGGCTATTATGGGGTAAATTCTGTTATCTCTTCCTTCAGACGCAAGGTGTCTCTGCAGCTGCGCTTGTCAATGCAATGGGTTTCGGGGGTGTGTCTCTTGGTAGTATTTATAGATTCTTATTAGCGTATTCAATGAAGGTTCATTTTCCTCGCGCATCATCTTTATGCCCGACTCTCTTCGCCTGTGTGTGTGTCCCACAGGCGCACTTTCAATTCCTTATTCTCTGCTGTGATTTTTAAGATGTCCTTGCTGGGTCGTATTCGTGGATGTGAATCCGGAGACTGTGTGTGGTCGTATTTGCTCGCTGTGGCTTGCAGCCGCTTAATTTCTTCGCAATCTATTTCCTGTTCTTTGTGCTTCATGTAGCGTGGCTCGGTTTCAGCGTATTTCTTCATATCTTCCATTTGTTGGTTGACGTCTGAGTCCTCCATGCGCGTTTTGCCCTTATTCTCCCAAATCGACTTGAGCTCTTTTTGGCCGTTTTTACGCTTTGCATCGAAAAGTTCTTTAAGCGCGCTCGTTGGCCTTCCTTTAGCTCCTTCGGTTGCCTTTACCTTTTCTTGTGCTTTCTTTTCATTTCTAGCCTGCCTTTCTTTTTTTGTCTGCTTTTTTTCTTGTCTCTCCTTCCGTTTACTTTTTGCCTTTTCACGCCCCTGTGCTTTCTTCGCCACCTCTTGCTTGACTCGTCTCATTTCAGCACTGAGCACGCGTTCGCAAAAGGGTTCTTTCTGCTGTTCGCTACCCCTTGGCCCTTGAACGCTAGTCGTCTGTGCAAATTGGTAACCCTGCTTCGGGGCAAATAAGCTATAGCGAAATGCCGCTTCGGCTTCTTCGATCGTTCGTAGTTTTATGCGCGACGTCTGGTTGAGAGTTTTTCTTTTGTTTATCGCCACGTCTTGGCCAGCGGTTGGACGGTACACATCGTCGTCATCGTCATCATAGTCGTAAGTAGATCTAGGTTTTGTTTTACTTTTGTTCTTGGAGGAGCTTGTAAAGCATGAATCACTTAGTTTTTGTATGAGTCCTCGTCGCTCAGGTGTTTTCGGCGTGGACTTGACCTTTGCCTGACGTGCACCAGACGGTCTCCTCCTCCTTGCCGACGCCGCTGAATTAGAGTAAGTCTGCCTGTCTCTGTCGCTATTTTGTTCGGGGTGAAATGCCACGCGTCGTCCTTTCAAGTCCACACCGTACAAGCGGTTGTGCGCCAACATAGCATTCTCGTGCTCTTCAAGCAAGCTGAGAAACTCGGGCGAAATGTGTTTAAAGCGCTTGGGGTCCATGCGTCGTTGTTCGGTCTCGCGTAAGGGCTGTGCCAGCCGCAAAAATTGCTGTGGATCGGTCGGTTTTCGCGTCGAGATGGCGAGCATTTTGCACTTTTCCGTCAAATTCGCACTGTTAGTATTCTGTTCACGCTGACACTCGTACCACGATGTAGCCGTGTCCGGTACATAGATGCTGGACTTCTTCGTGGCAGCCCAGAGACTGTCGATGATCTCATTGCAATCGGTGCGACAGCGCGTATTTGTGCGACCTAGCTGTGGCTGCAGTCCCAGCTGTTGATTGAGGCGCATTGATTGATTTAGCGTGTCTGGCCTGCCGTTGGCGTTGACACTGCTGATGAAAGCTGCATAGTTTGAAGGGCAGAGGTAGTCCTGTTCGGCCTGTTGTTGCTGCAGTTGTAGACGCTGTTGTTGCGCTTGGTAGCGAGTGTAGGTTGGTTGGTTCTTGTTCGTGAAGAGGTCGGGGCCGTAGTAGTTGCGGCAGCGTGAAGCTGCCAAGATTTGCGACGTCAAGTAGCGATAGCAGTTTGTATTACCGAAGTTGCCGAAATTCATGACTGCGCATTAATGAGATTCATACATTGGAGACCGAAACATTCAATTTTAGTACAAGAAATGTTGGCGCTTTTAATATATATATATATATATATATTTTTTTTTTTCTTTTGTTTTAGGAGTTTTCCGAATTAAAGCCGAATGGAAAACATGTAAATTACGAAAATGTTCATTTGAAAGTTACAAATTTTGAAGTGCGCATTGGTGCGCATCTGAAATACCGAAATGTTGAATGAGTCAATATTCAGAAAAGTCAAAATGGAGGTTTGATGGAATTACGAGATTGATTTGTGTAGTGAGGATTGCCATCAAGGCGAATTCATATAAGGTGGTATCCATTCAACAAATACAACAATTACTTGTATTTAGTTTGCGCTTTTAGCTGGTGATTGTCAAATTTTAGCTATTCTTCTCCGAATGAAAAAGGGCGACAGAAAATACAAACACTCACGTTTTCACTCACTTACTAGCAAAATATAAAATTTTGACAATCAAACGCTACACACAGCTGATTAAACAACACCACCTTATATAAATTCGCCTTGTATGTATGTTAGTATTTGGCCGAGCTTCTCCTCCGATTTGTGGCGTGCGCCTTGATGTTGTCACACAAAAGGGAGGGACCTACAGTTTTACCACTAAAAAATACCGCCAATCGGCACTTTCAATTTCTCATCTATTTACTATATGTATACCTAATCTCGAATTCCATTCTAACTACATATGTACGATTTTTTCTCCCATTGCAGAATCGTTTCCGCCATACAGGCCGCATTCTCATTTCTGGTCGGCTTTATTGTATGCAAATCGACCTGTAGCAAGTCATTTGTCTACGCCTCGCATTTCTTGATGGAAGCCTATGGCTGGTTTGGCACCGCTTACTTTATGTACGACATTTGGTCCATGTACAAAGTGCATACACAGAAAATCGCTGACAAATTGAGACTGATGAGTCTGAATACCGCCGCTGGCGCAGGTGTGCGCTGCTCATCGAATGGCGTCAATATTGTGAATGGCGCTGCTGCTGGTAATGGCAGTTGTGATGGTTACAGTGATGGAGATGATTCACCGGTACGCGCGACAGCACAGCAACGCGAAAACGATGATATCTACGATTATGATGGCGATTGTGTACAGATACCGAAGGATGGCAAGTGGGATTTCATCAAATATGTGATTACGCATCCAGTTATGATGATCCATCATATCTTCATTGGTACTTTTGGCTTACTGGTTGTGACGGTGAGTAGTGTGTGTGTGCATGTGAGGATATATATTAATATGTGCCTATAAAATCGTACATATATATGTTAAATCGATTTATGTTTTTGTTTTGAACAGTACATACGCGGCGGTGGCCACTGCATCTACAGCTATATGTTCATGATGGAATTCTCCACGCCCTTCGTTTCGATGCGCAGCATACTGAGCACTATGCGTTTGAAAGACTCACGCGCTTACATCATCAATGGTCTGCTAATGTTGGGCACGTTTTTAGTGTTTCGTGTTTTTATGTGGCCATACGTTATGTATCGCTATAGTGTAGCCATCAATGTGAGCCTCTGGCAGGTGAGTATTGTAAAGATGTGGTCAGATCTGCCATACAATATCTATTGGGGGAATTATTATTAAAGTAAAATTTTTTTTCTGCAGGCGGTGACCACTTTGCCACGCGGTTGCATTATAAGCATTTTGATACTCTTCCTACCACAGCTTTATTGGTTCTTTTTGATGGTCAAAGGTGCACTAAAGGTGAGTAAAATTTATATCGAATAAAATAGGGAGAAAATAATATACAAATTTCTTAAAAGCGCGAAAAAATCAGCACCTCTTAGCTAATTAGTTCCATTAACTATCCAATAGTTATGAAAGTGAAAGTAATGCCCCATATGCCCATATTAAATTATATTGCTTGATACTCTTACTTTGCGCATTTTCCAGGTACTTTTACCGGCAAAACAAAAAAATGCTGCAACCAAAAAATTGCGGCAGTCAAAAAACAACAACTTATCACCGGTGACACCAAACGCTGAACAAAATTTTAATCAAATTTGCGAAGCTGCGGTCAACGGCGCAGCCGAAAAGAACTCAATACAGAACCAATTGCTATCATTTGATAGAAATGTTAAAAATTAGATATATGTACATACAAACACAGTTGAATTTTATTGGCAGCAAAGAACCGTTAACCTCAAGGAAGATGAAGTTTATTTTTAACATAGTCTATGTGTACCAATAACATCTGCTTTGCTGTTATTCAATTAAGTTTGTAAAAAATTTATTTTGTGATTAATTAATTTATACTTATTCTTGCATTCATACAACCATTTATTCCAGAGCACAATTTATTATATACCTACATAGATAGTTAACATCTTTGGTAAAAAAAAATCTGAGTTACACGTCTATTCTGCGCTGTTAATAAAGATTTTGTAACCGGTGAATAAAGTTACTGTCAATTTTTAAAGCCTTTTCGCATACTGTGTCCTCCTATAACCGGTAAGTTTTGTTACCATCTCATAAGCTGGGAAAATATGCAATGTCAGAATTTCCACAAATCTTCATAGCTGAATTGCTGAATATTTAAACTACATTACCAACCTAGAATCGCGGTGACAAGAACTGGTAACATATTTTGGTAATAAAATTTCCCGGTTACAAAATCTTCGGTAACTGGCAGCATAGAATTGAATTGATGATTTATTTCCAATTAACTTATGCATTTGAAATGTCTTCTAACTTTGTTCTACATATGTAAAAGCCACAAAATAACACTCGAAGAGAAGTTAACATTTTAATTTTTGTAAACATTGTTAATTAACTATTAAATATTTAATATATTGAATTTGCTGATGGTCATTTTTGACGTACTTCTACTTATTTCTGTATGTGTATAGGTGTTTATTTATGCAATTGTGTGTATGCAAGCGCCAATTATTTTAGCATAATTACATATATACCAACCATTTTATAAATTAAATGTTAATTTAATACGATAAATGTTATAAAGGTAATAGATATTACACACTTAGCAGCATACATACATATTTATTATATGTATACAAAAGAACAAATACTAGTTATTAATATGTAATACTTTAAGTCATCTAATTTGTAACATTTTAGTGAAGGCAGTACAACTAATTTTTCCAAATATATATATATTTTTTTTTGCTTGAGTTCCTTTACTTTTAAACTATAAATTATGTTTGTATATCTGAGTATTGAAAAATAGTACTTGAATTCGCGTATTTATAACTTGCCCAAATTGTAAAATTACATAAATTTGCATGTATAATAGATGTGTATTTAAAATGATAATAATGCCGTTAGCAGCATTTAATCAGCTTGCGCAAAATGCAATGTAGACAAACTAAAAAGTAAACCTAAAGGGAAAAAACCCAATATGAGCTAACACATTCGATATCTCGCATTTTTTTGCTGTAGATACTTTATATTGATGCATTTTAGTCGTATACAAGTTTTCATGTGTTGTGAGAAATACATATGTATGTATGTACAAATAAATTAAATAAAAAATCTACAGCAGCAGCCAACAAGCAGGCACACTACTAACTACTCGTGCTTATCGTTTGTGTGCAGATATACAAAAAAAAAAAGAAAGAAACAACTAATAAAGAATCTGCATAATTGTTTAATAACCTGTTTCGACTGATTTATAACGGAGGTTGGTTTTATGCGGATAATAATAAAATTATGACCATTAAAAAGCAACAGACACACGACACTTTGCTCAAGCTCTTTATTAAACTCTCAAAACCAAAACTTTACTTTGAAAAAATATCTACTTGCAGTCAGATGGATACTGCTGGTCATGGCTTTTACCAATTCCCCACTATTAATGCCAGGTATATCATATCCGTTCACTCATCTTCAAAGTAAAAAATCTTAGTCGCAGCAAGGCAGAAGCTTCCTGCGGCGAAGTAATTTTGAAATGGATTTTTCAAAAGCATTATTTTTATTATGTTATTATTTATATTAGTTTATAAACATATGTATTTGCAATTTTTATATTATTTCATTGCAAGAAATAACATAAATTTCATAATTTTTTTTTTTTAATTTACAAATTCCGAAGTTTAGTAAATAAAAATTTCCTTTTCAGCAGTTTGTACTTTTACAAAAAAAAAAATTTACAGATTCCCTCTGAACCTCTACTATTTTCATGCAAATTTTTTTTCATTAATTATTTATGAAAATATAGTTAATTCTATAACATAAACCATTTAAATCAAAGTTTCCCAATTTATATAAAGTTCACAAAAATTTAAATAATTTTCATCAAAATTTCAAAATTTTTACTCAAAATTTCTAGAAAATGTTCGAGTATGTAAGTTATGTAAAATTAAGAAAAATTTCTATTTTAATTAATTTGCGTAAGCTATAAGTGTAAGTGTAAATTTAATTTAATTTGATATCGATGTTTTTGGTTGTTTTGAAGTGTTTTTTTGTAATTCGTTTTAATACAGTTTTTTTTTTTACGGTTTAAAACCTGAATAAAAACCGTGATTAATCAAAAACCCGATTCTTTGGATACGATGCCCATCCCTAGCGCAAGGTTCCATTAGAGAACGTTTATAAACGTTCTCTGACGTAAGACTGCTTTTACACAGTTCAAGTATTGAATTCAATTCTGCTGGTGAGAAGAAAAGGCACGAGTACACATGCATCTGTACCATTGAGTCCTTTCAACTTTCTTGCTTTGCTTTTGACATTTTCGTTGTTTCCCATTTAAAGAACCAAAAGCTTGAATTCAACAGAATTGATGCGTGCAAATAGAAAACAAAAGAAAATAAGCAAGTATTGCTATCAAGTACTTGAATCATGTAAATCGGGTGTAAATAAATGAGCGGCAACTCTGTGGCTTAAATTTGTCCCTAACCGATTCCGGTAGTAGATTTTGGTCCCAAGCCGATTAGGATGATAGCAAAATAGCAAAATAGCAAAAAACGTCGGAAGAGCAGGGCGACGGCGGCTGTTAGTGCAATGCCGTTAACCACGTTTCCTATAAAAAAAAAATTGAATATTACGAGATCTAACTAATCTGACAGTTTCTTGCATCCTCCTATTCGGCTTTGTTTACTTTTAACTTGAGCACTGTCAGCGCCATCGGGAATGCGCAATCCCGTATTCTATCATTCTTTGTGTCTGTCTGATCACATGGTAACCACTTCACTATTACTCACAAATCCCTCCGAAGCAAAACTTTTGGTGTGTTTTCACTTGGCTAGATAAATTAGCAAACGGACGGTAGCTCGGCAACTCTGTGGCTCAGTTGATTTCGGAATTTCGGCAGAGAAGAAAGTGTGCGATTTGTGCGTTGCCTCGCTTACGAGTATTAATTTCCGGATCGCGCTGTGAAAAAAGTTAAATTATAGAAATTTAGTGAATATTTTCGTGACCGGCAAAGTCGTTTATAAAAGAAAATGGTGAGTAAAAGTGTTATTTGTTTGACGTGTGTCTTGCAATCGTGCAAAAAATGAAAAATTTTTAGTTATCGCAAAGCACACGGTGTTCTACAGCGGGTGCTGCGCTGCCGAGGCAGCGAACTAACTAGTTCACCAAGTCATCGTATTACGTCTCAATGGAGTTCAGGGAGTTTTGTGTCTGAAAAGCATATAAATTTACGGCGCATTTTGCATTGTTAATAATTTGTTGGTAAAAGCTGGAAAATATTGCTGGCACATCATCAAATTGAATGTATCGCTTGGCACACTTGGCTGCCTTTTAACGCAGCGCTGCTGCCTTGCTGATTATTTCGTAATTTTTAGTAATACTCGGTAAAAACGGTTGCGGTGTTTTTTCATATGAGCGAACATTTTGCATAATTACGCATTGTTGTTTTGCGTGCATAACCAAAATGTTTAAATATCTTTTAACGACGTGGTCATTGGTCATAATGTGCGATTTTCGAAAAGTTGTAAGCTGAAAATCCACTTGCAATGATTGTTCTGAATTTTCCTTTGTGGAGACATTCTTTTTTGTTTTTTTCCTCTTTGCACGTTGTGTCGTCGTTTTATCCAATCGCTTATCATCGTTCTTTTCTTCTGTGTTGTTTGTGGAATGGTAGCAGCAGCGCACGGGTAGGGTCGTCTCTTTCTATCGCATTGAGTTGGCCAGGTTGCTGTCGCTAGCTGCCACTGTTGCCAGCTTACTGCTTCTCGCACTAAATTTGGTGCTTTTCTTAATTCAAAACGCGAAAATTTTCGAGTTATATGGTAGACAGATGGAGAAAATTAATTAGAATTAATAAGCATAAATGCAAATTGAAATCTTACCCTTACAGACGGCAGTAATGCGGATAAATCAGCCGCAAGGTCGTGGGTTCGAGTTCCACGGCCATAGACTTTTTTATTTATTTTTCATTCTTTTTTTTTATAAGTTCTATATATGTATTTTTTACGTTGCTTTCAGTTAGTTGTTGACTTTTTAATAAAATTCAATTCTAAAAATTAAAATTAACTATTGTAAAATAAGAAATGTGATGTAAAAAAAAGCAAATGAAAACAAAATAAAGTAAAAATAAATATATAAATAAAATAAAATAAAAAAAGATAAAATAAATAATAAAAATAAAAAATTTTTCGCAATCGCTCCAACCGAAGATCGGGCTTGTAGCACGCAGCTCTCACCACTCGGCTACCGCGTACGCGAAACAACTGGCCGTTTTTACCAGTGTTGTCATCGAAAATTCCCCGGACCCGAGTTAATTCCCAAAAATTTCGTGCATTTGTTCGGCTGTTTATGCTCATTTTAAAGAGGAAAATGCATGAGTTAAAGCAAATAAAGGCTTGTTATGCAAATAATCGAGCCCGTTTGTCTACCGTATTAGGTGCTTGGTGCGTTTTTTGGTGCTTTTTGTTTAAGTTTGAAGACACCAAAACTGTTCATCTGAATCAAAAAATGCGTAATATATGAAATTTAGAGCAATGGGAGGTTTCGTAAGGAACTTTACAAAAATGGAAACAAAATTATGATACAATGACAATCATAAGCGATAGAGCATATGTTTGTAAAAAAAAATGAGTGGCAGCACTTTCAATCGTGCCAGAATTACATATGGTAGTTTGCCATTGTCTGCAAAAACATTCATGTTTCTGAGACCAGGAATCGATCTTTAGACATTGGCCTGAATTTTTTCATATTTTTTTACGAATATTAAAAATGCACCAGTATCTCCTAACAGTAAAATGAATAACGAATATTCGACCGCCGAGCAAGAAGCATTAATTTTTATTAATTTGAATCGGTATACCTACAATAAAATTTTGTATGCATACAAAGTCCATAAAATCCTCCAATAAAAAATTTGGAGCTTTTTTTTCAAGAATAAAGGCGACCTTTCAAATTCAAAACTTGGCAACACTGCTAGCGCTGAGTAGCATGAAGACCGGGGTAAAGGTCACATGGATGCTTTTGGTGGATTTCGGACTTTTTAGGAGATTTTTTACTGGCGGCCTGTGATTTGTTTTTAAACAGCGAAATACAAGGCGCATCAATATAACTAAAGTAAAAAATGCGGTTCTGGCCTGGGATGTGGATGGCTATAATATCCACGTCCCAGGTATATAGAGTAAGCGTTTTTTATCGTTAATTTTAAATAAAATTCACAAAACAAAAAAGTTAAGTAATAAAATAATTTGTTAATTGATATTCTATACTACAATTAAGAATTAATTAATTGTTTATTGTAATTCTCCACAATTATAATTAACCAATTGCTAATTGTAGTCGCAGCAATTGTTATTTATTCTTACAATTAAAATTTGACCAACATTGATCCACAGCAATTTTCACAAGTAAAAAAAGTAGTACAAAATTGTTTCCTTGGCGTTCATTGTGGTATATCTTTTTCGTCTAACTGCCATCCCTAAATTGGAGCGCTAAGCGTTGCGTTTTCCAGTCATAACGAGTGCCAGCGCTTGCCATCCCCAAATCAACGCGGCGTAATATATTTGACGTTTTCTCATTTCCTCTCGTTTTTATTCTCGTTTCTTCTTTCACTTTCTTATCATCTTCCGTATCCAAATTCAACGCGTAACGCCCTGTCAAAAATCAAAATTTCAGTTGCTCGGCTCTAGCGTCGCGCTATTGTGGTATGCTTCATACAAATTGTATGGGCATGAGGATTTTTGACAGTTCCTTGTCGCGCTCGCCGAGCTAACACTAGGCCCAACCATCCAATAGTGTACCGAAGGGGGACAGGGGCGTCCCTGGTTGCTCCTTATTTGGGCATAACATTTTAAGGATGCCTTTTCAACGCAGGCCATCCGCCACGCAGTTTCCGGCGATGTCACTGTCACCCGGCACCTAAACTATCCTTATAAAAAAGTACTCCGACGCGATTGATAGAGGGGTCAGACGTTCATTTACCGATTTCGAGTGCACCATCACACCCTTTAGCAGTGAGTCTACTGCTTCCTGAAAGCCACTGCAGAGGTCGGGAAGCCTGCATAAGTTCTGGTGGAGAGTTTCCGACAAAATAAACCTCCATGAACCCTGTCTCCAAGTTTTGATCCGTCCGTGAAGAAGTTTACCGTTCCTTTCTTCGATTAACCCCGCCCCCCTATCCAGTCCTCTCTTCAGGGAATATACCTTGAGATGGAGCTTCTGGGAGCCATTTCGGAGGCACTTTAATCTATGTGCTCAAGGCGAAGTCAAAGCCCTCCAGAACTCCACACTGTTACCACCCGG